GGTACAGGATCGGCTCGGGGTCCTTCCGACTGCCGATGACGTCACATTACTGCAAATCTAAAAAGGGAGTTTTCCTCTCCACTGTCGCTGCATGCTTGCTTAGTATGAGGATTGCATCAAGTCACTGACTACCGATCCTGCACCGACACCGGTTTGATACACTGGTTCTGTAAAACTAAGCATCAGATTTACATTTTTTAAACTAAAATTGGATTTGCTATGTGACCGCTTCTCAGGCGTGTTCATCAGAGATTCGCTGAATGGTTTAGTCCAGGAGCTCTCCCGGACCTCCTGCTGGACGCTTTCAGCGCTCCTCTTAACGGATTTTCAGGGTTTGTGAGAAGGTTAAACGTCATGATGGTTGGTTTATTTCAGTTTAATTCATGTTGCTCTAAAAGCAAAGCAAAAGAAGAACCAGTCAAGGTGAACATTTGATGAACAAAGTTAACAAACTAAATCACAAAGGCTTAGGATGAAGTTAAACAAAACCCAAAGACTCAGGTTAGATTAAACTAATCTTCCATTAAAAATATAACATGTTGTTCAGTAAATAATAATATAAAATAAATTAATGAACAAAATACATATATAGTACACAATGAGTCTGATTAATTCATTTATATCAGGGTTCCCCGATCCTGGCCAGTCGAGGGCGTGACCGGCATGTTTTAGTTGTTTTCCTACTTTAATCAGCAGATTATCAGCAGGCTTCTATGAGCTCCATGAGCTTCTGAACAGGTGAATCAGTCACTGAACCAGGAGTATTGGAGCAGGGAAACAACTAAAACATGCTAAACGGCAGCCTCCATAGCTCAGGATTCGCCACTCCTGCTTCTTTTACAGTTTTAGATGTCTTCACTGCAGTTACTCCATGACCAGACCACCCTTAGGTCTTAGGGTTACTCTCACAGCTGGTTTTATAAACATGTGTTTGTCTCTAAAACTAAACTCACTCTTAAATGATTATAAATGAATCTGGAAAAACACCAGAATTCACCTGTGATTTACCTGATCCAGCCCAAATCCTTGAGGCAGCAGAGCTGCTATTCTGGACTCTAATCTGGATTAGATCCTGTTTTTGTTTACATCACATGTAAACAGAGTTTTTAACAAGAGGATCAGATCTGAATAAGAAAAAATAAACTAGAGATTCTCCTCACAATAATCCGCAGCAAAAAATCCTAAAAATAAGTGAATCCCAGAGATTAGCAGCAGAGAACTGGGTCTCCTGCAGGGAACATCGTGGGTGTGAAGCTGCAGGAGGACTTTAGGATCCATAACTCTGATTGGTTTTAAGACATCTGATCAGAGGTCAGTGTGACATTGTTCTGTTGACTTCTGCAGTCAGACTCTACGGGTTTGTCTTCCTGCAGCAGCAGCTCCTCTGAAGCTCCACACACGGAATACTGATCACTGCCAGCATGAAATATTAATAAACACGAGGCTTTGATACAGATGTGTGTGTGTGTGTGTGTGTGTGTGTGTGTGTGTGTGTGTGTGTGTGTGTGTGTGTGTGTGTCTTAGCAGCCCCACCTTTAATTATCTACTTACGTCCCCTTTCATCTAAACACGTGTTATTTAATTCACACTATTAATGAAATTAGCCAAATAAGACTCTAGATCAGTAAATCGTGAACATCTTATAAAAATGGCTAATTGCCTGTATTTGTAAAGCGTTTTCTTAGGATTCTACAGGCGCTTCACGTAGCCACAGCTGACGCTGGCACCACCGGTCCCTCCGACCACCAGCAGCCAATGCAGGCTAAGAGTCTTGCCTAAGGACACGTCAGAGCCGGGATAAAACCTGCAACCTTCTAATTACAGGACAACCCGTTCTACCTCCTGCACTACTGCTGTCCTAAAAATAAACTAAACAAAAAACTCTGGGCTATTGATTAGCTCTAGACTAGGTCTGATCAGGTCTATTGATTAGATCTAGACGAGGTCTGATGGTCAGGTCTAAGATTAGTTCTAGACTAGGTCTGACCAAGTGTATAGATTAGCTCTAGACTAGGTCTGATCCGGTCTATTGATTAGCTCTAAACTAGGTCTGACCAAGTGTATAGATTAGTTCTAGACTAGGTCTGATCAGGTCTATTGATTAGATCTAGACTAGGTCTGATAGTCAGGTCTAAGATTAGCTCTAGACTAGGTCTGATCAGGTCTATTGATTAGATCTAGACTAGGTCTGATAGTCAGGTCTAAGATTAGCTCTAGACTAGGTCTGACCAAGTGTATAGATTAGTTCTAGACTAGGTCTGATCCGGTCTATAGATTAGTTCTAGACTAGGTCTGATCCGGTCTATAGATTAGTTCTAGACAAGGTCTGACCAAGTGTATAGATTAGCTCTAGACTAGGTCAGATCAGGTCTATAGATTTGCTCTAGACGAGGTCTGATCAGGTCTATAGATTTGCTATAGACGAGTTCTGATCAGGTCTATAGATTAGCTCTAGACGAGGTCTGATGATCAGGTCTATAGATTAGCTCTACACTAGGTCTGATCAGGTCTATAGATTAGCTCTAGATGAGGGCTGATCAGGTCTATAGATTAGCTCTAGAGGAGGTCTGATCAGGTCTATAGATTAGCTCTAGACGAGGTCTGATCAAGTGTATAGATTAGTTCTAGACTAGGTTTGATGGTCAGGTCTATAGATTAGTTCTAGACTAGGTCTGATCAGGTCTATAGATTAGTTCTAGACTAGGTCTCATCAGGTCTATAGATTAGTTCTAGACTGGGTCTGATCAAGTCTATTGATTAGATCTAGACTAGGTCTGATGGTCAGGTCTATAGATTAGCTCTAAACTAGGTCTGACCAAGTGTATAGATTAGTTCTAGACTAGGTCTGATCAGGTCTATTGATTAGATCTAGACTAGGTCTGATAGTCAGGTCTAAGATTAGCTCTAGACTAGGTCTGATCAGGTCTATTGATTAGATCTAGACTAGGTCTGATAGTCAGGTCTAAGATTAGCTCTAGACTAGGTCTGACCAAGTGTATAGATTAGTTCTAGACTAGGTCTGATCCGGTCTATAGATTAGTTCTAGACTAGGTCTGATCCGGTCTATAGATTAGTTCTAGACAAGGTCTGACCAAGTGTATAGATTAGCTCTAGACTAGGTCAGATCAGGTCTATAGATTTGCTCTAGACGA